TCAATGTTCTGGGAGTCTCCCACCTACCATTTAGATCATCCAGTCCCCCAGACAAGTTTCGAACTATTGTCCAGATACAAGGGACCATAGGCTCCTAGGGACAGTGCTTTAAAAGTGCTATTATGATGAAATGTGCAGATGTCCTCCATAATATTTTGTTACCATGGCAACATACTGGGTTTCAACCTTCTCTGATATAGGCTTTTCTGGCCATCTTTGGCTTTCCATTTTGATATTTGTCAATGGTGCCTCATCTGCATGATTCAGCAAGCATATTAATATTATAAGGTCGAAGTTGTGGCTTCAGGTTAGAGGGGACTAGAAAAGAGTGAGTTGGCATGGGAAAATACAGGCTGTGTATAATTTTAATAGCCATAGATGTGTTTCCAGTAGAACTATAAGCCTACCAACTTGATGTAATATTGGGTTGAGGATATGACATCATCAGTCACCTCATTTGCGTATTTTACACATGATGCAGATATTTGCAAAAGTTTAACAGCATTTTTAATCTTTTGTGAAATTCTATGTGATACACCTACAAATTCTGACTCAAGGGGTAAAAGTTTAATGAGAGAAGCATGTTAAAGCATTGAGTTGAATTTATGCTGTTGGCAAAATTTCACTGTAAGACGAAGAGAATTTTGGAGGGGAATTTGGTGTGGTTATTGAATTTACAGAGGTTGGTTTTGTTATTGACTTTGTCATTATCTTCTATATTTTTGAGGCAGAGTGGTTGTTGGCAAAAGCAAAACTGGCAATGTCTTCACTGACCTGTGTTTAGATGTTTTTAGGTTTTTGTCTCTGACAATGAAGTTCAATTTACCGGTAAGTAGTTACACTTTCTTTACAATAAAACATATGGATATTAATAACTTATAGCTATTTTAATATCCTCATACCAAAATATCCTCGTACCAAAATGGCTCAATTTCTATCTCTGCTTTAATTAGTTTACAGCAGTTTATTTTTGTAAACCAATTTAATTTCATCAAAGGGGAAGGGGAAATCTGAGAGCAATAATAAATTAGACCAGCAAATATAAATAAATTTGCACTGATTGCTCTCATGGCCTAGTGGAGATGAAGTGGACCAAAAGGTCAGAGATCTGATGGTTTAATCTAGGTATGTCTGTACAAAATAATAAAAAAAAGATTTTATTGTAGTATGGGAGTATTATGGTGAGTTATGTTGGGGTGTTGATATGGGATCCTGGCTGTACTGTTGTAGGGTAGGAATAGGGACTGAGGGGGTGGGTGGTGTGCTTGTGATTCTTTTTAAGAACCACTCTGAAAGTGAAAACAACTGGTTTGAAAAATTTACAGCAGAGGTAAAAATTATACATTATATCTTGTTTTTCATAGGTCAGGTAAATGAGCAAATACCCACAAGAGAAATGCAAACAAGAGATGCACTTTATTTCTCTTCTTAATCAGTGTTCTTCTGAATTCCTCTTGTTAAACTAAATTATTATTTTCTGTTGAGATAACATTTTTACACTGGACTTTTCCTCTGAAACTCGTACTAACAAAATAATCATTACTAAGAAAAATTATGCTTTTTACGATAACTGTAGAAGTTGTTATGCGCTCATTGGCTAATTTTCATCATCAATAAGCGGACCTGTAGGCACAAATTTATAATTTAAGAGGCGTGTCAATGAGTGAGAGCATACAATTTGGCAATGAGTTTGTTATTTTAAAAAAACAAATTGATGTCAGTTTTTCCTGTGTTTGCGGATGAGTGTATGCTATCGCCCTGTGGATCCACAGCAGAATTCATGATCAATAATGTTCAAGACAGATGCATGAAAAACTGATGTCAATTTGTTAAACTGAAGAGATCTGGTTCTTGGTCTTTTTGTGACTGATGGAGGTCTCTAAAAGTTCTCAGTTGTTGTTTAATTTTAATTTTAGTGTTTGTATTTTCTTAGGTGGTTNGTGCTCATTGGCTAATTTTCATCATCAATAAGCGGACCTGTAGGCACATAAATCTATAATTTAAGAGGCGTGTCAATGAGCGAGAGCATACAATTTGGCAGTGAGTTTGTTATTTTAAAAAAACAAATTGAAGTCAGTTTTTCCTGTGTTTGCGGATGAGTGTATCCTATCGCCCCGTGGATCCACAGCAGAATTCGTGATCAATAATGTTCAAGACAGATGCATGAAAAACTGATGTCAATTTGTTAAGCTGAAAAGATCTGGTTCTTGGTCTTTTTGTGACTGATGGAGGTCTCTAAAAGTTCTCAGTTGTTGTTTAATTTTAATTTTAGTGTTTGTATTTTCTTAGGTGGTTACCTCCTGGCATATACACCCCACACTGGCATACAATCCCTTGATTTAGATGATGCTGAACCTGTTTTTCCCCATCTTTAACATACATGTAAGAGTGTCAGTGGACCTGTCCAAGTGTGAATTATTTTTACTGATAATGCAAATCATAATAAAGATACAAAACCTCTCTGGTGTGATTTCTTCCTTGACAGTGAAGTGCAACCTAACCAAAAGTTGCATTCTGTAAGAGCTTTACAAAAATTATAAAATATAGGAGTTCCTCTGAAAGAAGAGTTTGTTGTTTTTTTCTGTTCATTTTTTCCGTTGAACATTTATATTTTCCTAATAAGCAGTTTCTTCACAACACACTTCAAGATGATAAAGAGCCATAAAAATGACATTTTTATTGCGGAGATCATTTTCAAGATTAAAGAAAAGTTATTTTTATTTATATATTTTATTTTCTTTGGGAGAGGGACTTTTTGAGAATTTCCCTAAAAATATCACAAGGTACAAAGGAAGGGGAAATATAAAAGTAATGTTTTCATTATCAGATTGAGTCTCTATGAAGCTGCAAAGTATGGTTATTTTATACTGTTGTGGATAACGTTAGGCCCATTTTAATTCAAAATGCAAATGAGAACTTACATTGATAATCACACAATCCCTTAAATTGGTACTGTTTTGTTTTTTACCGGTAATTGCTTTTTTCCAGAAAACAATTTGAACATCCTTGTTACACAAGGAGGGGTGGTGAGGAAGGTATTCTACATAGTTCTTAATGGGGAAGCTCCATCTCAAAGTCCAGCCCCTTAATACTGTATCCCTTTTCTAAACCCGTAGAGAGAAGTTTTAAAATATCTCTTTGAACAATTTATCAGAATCCCCTCATTCTGGCTCAGGAGAGTAAATGAGAGATTATCAACAACATTTTAGAACCAGAAAAAGGGAAATCCGTAAAAGAAAGTTTTCCGTACCCTTTCATACGCCTGAATTCAACTTGTCAGAAATTCCTTACCCTTTAATAGTTATATCTGAAGCCTGAAAACTTTCAAGCAGAGCTTCCCCCCATATGTCATTACATGGAGTCCTCCCACATACACAATTCAGGAACTCTTGACAAGTTGTGATGAAGATGGCTTTAAGACTGGTCTGATCAGGCAGCTTCAGTTTTTGAGTACAAACTTGTTACTCTCAGTCAACTTCTGGTATTGAACCTTGTCTTTTCCGGTCTGGTCCAAGTTCACAGACACCACTAGCTAGCAATCACTTTCACAACACTAACACTAGCAATGTCACTCGCAGTCTGGGTGTTCAGTTCCACATTTGAATAAATAATCGTTCTTTTCCTCAATCAAACGATATGACGAGGAAGACGACAAAATTTTGTTTCTCGTGGCCAAATAAAACGTTAGAAATATCCCGCCGATTACGAAATATAACCATTTTACTTACTGAGAGAACGATTATGTCGCATTCAAATTTAATTTTGCCGCTCAGCCCGCTTTTTTACCGGATGTGACGTCACTTTTTGGTGGATGATCCAAACACGAAAAAAGTGCCAGGCGTCCCAGAGTGTTCTCCCCCGCCCCTGGTACGTCCATATGCCAAGCCCAATACCTTGAAAAATAAGTGAGTAGCACCATTACCATAGAAACATCTTTGATATTGGACGTCCATGTTATGGTTAACTGACCGCTGTCAAAACAAGGTATCCGCTGGCCCGTATCACGTGACCATTTCGCGGGCTCGGGTTCAGAGTTCATCAAGGTCACGTGTTTCTTGAAGTACTTGTTTTTGATTGGATTGCAGGCTCAAAAAATATGTCCTACGGTGTTATTAGGACATATTTTTCAAATTTCGCACAAATCTCGTTTAAACTCTCTAGGATGAGAAAAAATGACACCGTTGAATGTTCAAGAGTGTTTATTCGGCAAATTACCCATACATTGATTGATTTCGATGTCATCTTCTAATTTCCATACAAACTTATATATTTTATCCACAGCTCTCCATACAAACTCTTATATTACGCTTGGGTGACCTGTGTTTTAGCTGGAAAAAATAAAGAAACCACACGCTGAAAAATTACATGCTCACAATTGATAATTTTTGAGCTTCTGATCTAAGAAAAAACAAATTCTTTCATTCTTTTATGGTTATTATTGTCATTATTGCAATCAGGAGCTCCGCTTTTAGGCCTGGCCAAATCTATATATTAAACGTACTAATAACGCCGTTTGCGACGATTTTCCGAAGATGTACGTCCACTTTCCGAAGATGTCGATGTCCGCAAAATAACGAAGATAACCGAACATTTTACTATTTTGAACAGGTATGCCAACAGTCAGTGTTCAGAAAGAAGAGAAGCCTGGGAAGAAGTCAGCTATGGCCAATAAAACCCAGCACCCTAAGATCTTGATCGGAATGTTGGCTGGCGTGATTGTTCTAGCGATCCTTGCGGCCGGTGTGTGTTACTGGCAGGTCAAGAAGGCTCGTGCGTCTTCGTCGACTGCGAAGAGTCGCCGACCTGAGATCGACTCTCTCCGAGCGAAGTACGAAGTACAGAATGAATACGTGGTGGTGCCAGACTATGACAGAGGCAATGAAGAGGTCAATACATGAATTTTCTTCCAGACGTTTTTACATTTCTTGTCTGATTAGCCTTGTAGAAGATATTTTTCACAATGTATTTGTGTAACTTGTAGTACGGTAGACCGGACATCTTTTTTAGACATGCTGGATTTTGGTACCAGATTATAACAGACAGGCATAAATCAGAGGTGAGCATGCAAATACCAGTCAAAGATTTTCCACCTTCTGGTATAACTCGCCTTGGAAAAAGTTGGTTGGTCGGTCGGTCCCAGTCTCGGTCTTTTGCTTGTCAACAAGTATTAGTTATTTTTTACACTTGGTCTGGGTGACATTACAGTGCGGGTCAATTATATTGCTATCTTTTTAGACCCGTTAGATTCTCAGTCGAACCTCTATGGAGGAAAAGCAAATTTTGTCCCAGAACTTTCTTTTTTCTCCATAATTCTGTCCAGTTGACCTATCTAAGTCTCTAACGAGCAAAATTTGGGCCGATGAACGATCTTATACATTTCAGGTTAAGCGACCACCCCTCAAGATGAAAGTCCCGAAATAATTGTCAGTAAAATACTATAAATAGAAACCTTATTGATGGCCACCTCTACTTAGCGACGTCGGCCATTTTTTGGTCGTCCAGATGAGGGTTTTCTATTGTCCTTGCCAATATTAAGCGGTCCCAAAAATTTAATTCGATTTTATACACGTGGTTTGATGACGGATAAGAGTTCGAAAGAGAAAGTGATCGCTGATGAAGACATCCAAACCCACGTTTATTATTGTCTTCCCGTGATTCTATATTGCCTTAAGCATGTTTGTATTCGAATGAATTGACGTTTGTAAAAGGCCTCATGCTAATTCCTAATTCCTGAAGAACCTCTATTAAGCGGGCTAACCCCTATGTAGCAGCCACCTCCCATTTCCCCGAGGTGTTAAAAGTGCCACTCTTAAATCCAGTATTTTCAATTTTATATTTTAGACTGGGAGCATCTAGTTTATTAGTTTCAGAAACGATGGTATTACGAGAAAAACATGCAGAAAAGTACACTTAATTTAGAGGGATGACCAGGTGGTAGATGCGTCACGACTCTTCCATTAAGCTGAAGATTAAAAGGAAATTTTGGTCGGAAATCGGACGCAACGATTCGACCGACCGAAAAGTTTACGAAAACAAAGCACCTTTGGAAGTTAGTTCACTTTGATTAGTGAGACTAAAATTCCTGTTCCTTTCTAGTGCTTTCACCTCGCACCATTTTTTTTTTTCACTCCCAACGATTTCTTCGCGCCAGCTAGCTGCTACCCAATCTAACCGAACGCCATGCAGAATTGTGCTTCGTTCCTTGTTGACAAACTCGTTCGTTGCCCTCCTTTTCTTCAATGGATTTTCCCAGATGCGGGGAAAAACACTCCACTTAGTTGGACAGTTTTGATTTGTGTTGTCAGTATTGTTTGATGTATTTCATTTGGGAATAGCTTAATAATCGTCTTAATCCGACTGATCGATCTGCTTAATGAAAAGCACCCTTAATTATTGTCCTCTCATGTGACACACCAACCTCATTAGGTTCATTAGATCTCTCTATGACATCAATAGCGTACTATTACAGTCGAAGGTCTCAAAGTGGCTTAACCGGACCGGCGTTTATGGCTTTAGTCTGATTTTCGTATCCGTTCAGAGGTTACGTCGGTTAGGAATATTGCAATTCCCAACTGGATAGCCTTCCCACTAGCCATATGTTTCGTTAGCTCTCTCGTTAGGCCACGTTCGATAAATCAATATTCTAACATGGCTCCAAGGCTTTCGGGTCAAAAGCGCAAATTTCCAAAGTTCCTTTTGTCCCTCAGTAGACCATTTTACAGTTGTCTGCTCAGTGACCTGGCCTTTGTATGGCAGCGAGGCTAGAGTTGACCTTGTTTTGATACAGACCTTACTGCTTTTGTTGCGTAAAACAAGTTGTTCTGATGCTAACTAGGTGCATTTACATGACAAAAGCAGTGAGGTCTGTATCAAAACAAGGTCAACTCTAGCCTCGCTGCCATACAAAGGCCAGGTCACTGAGCAGACAACTGTAAAATGGTCTATTCCCAAAAGAGACTTGGATACAAAGAAAACACTACCAAATATAGCCTGAGTTTGTCCTAAAGGCCTCGGAGCCACGCTAGAATATTGATATATCGAATGTGGCCTATTGGCCAATCTTCCGGCGCCAGTTTGGATTCACTGCAAAGTCATTCTACGCAGAAATGTCTGTATCCACTGTTTTAGACTGCCCCAAAAGTCTTTGATTTTTTACGGTCAGGTCGTCGAACAGCCACAATAATATCCTGAGGGAGTAGTGGACAGGACAGAGGGTGCTGGCTTCGGTCGAGACAACTGTACATATCGTGTAGAAACGTTTTGCAACACCTCCAGTCCCAAAACTTTCCCCACAAGAAAAAAAAAACAGACGTCAACCAGTCTTTCTACCCTATATTCCAATTTTAACTGTACTTCGTAGTTTTGTCACGTTATTCAAGATTGCGCGATCAATGGTGCGATGTAATAATAATGAAAAAATAGACACTATACATGATCATAGAAATTTCTTTTTGCTACAGTTTGTCCACAGGCGTTTATTTTTTTTGCTCATTCATATCTCACGCGCTAGGTTAATGTTTTGCTAAGCTTGCGATCTCGACGAATTCAAGAAAAATAGAAGGTCTGTGGATCGGACAGACTATGTTTCTGCCTACTTGTTTACCTAGGCTTGCTTTGTATAAAAAAGTTAGAACCTTTTGTATGCCGTTTTCATGTTACTACAAGTTAATAAAGTTACATTTTTTGCAATAATGTAATCAATACATCTTATTCTGTTGTTTAATGAGAACCTTTCCGCTCGATCGGAGTAACCTCTTTCCGACCAGGAAATTGCGTTCATTTTACATTGTAAAACCAACCTGTTTTCTAGTGTAATTATTATTTTTCTCCAAATATTAGTCGGCACAAAGTGCACGTGTCTCTAATCAATCATTCGGAGCTCGAGCGGAATTCATTTGGAAGGAAATTGGATTAGACTTCAGGAAGAGATTAGCTTGCCTTCAAGAGGCTTAGAAATGGTTTAGGTACATCATCATAAGGCCTTTTAGGGTATCCGTCGATATCCGAGGTTAAGTTAAACTGAAAAAGGCGTGAAAAAGAACTTTTTTTGTAACATGACCGTCTAAATGAGGACTGATAAATAACATCCTGACCATCACCTTTCTTAACGTTATAAATAGCTGAGGTCGTGACAATTTAATTTAGTCCCGTCAGATGACAAAAAAGATTTCTCTAGTGATATAAATGCTTGATAAAACCTTGGCTTGCATACATCATTTCCGTTTTTACCACTTTGCTAGCAATTCCGTTCTCTTGTATTAGTTCATTTCAACAAATTTTACTGTCGTTGGGTGACTGAGCAGCTTAAACTGACCATGTTACCACACCTTCAAGACCAGGAATGGACCAATCACGATGGCCAATGACTATCTATACACTACCATGACTGGCAGATATCTCGCAGACAATTTATTCCAAACCAACAGACCCTTCGGCTTTAGAAACACTGCCAATGCAGGCAACGTCAAAAAGCTGTAAAGACTCGAGAGTGGTTCCTGTTTCCTGGTTCCTGGTTTGGGACACTAATTGCTTGTAGGAGCATTATGATAGGTCACCACTGCGGTATGCCTACCAGAAAACCAGTAAACCGCAACATTTAATTAAGTGTTCTGTTCACAGTTTTTTTGTTTGTTTGTTTGTTTGTTTGTTTGTTTGTTTGTTTGTTTGTTTGTTTGTTTGTTTGTTTGTTTGTTTGTTTGTTTGTTTGTTTGTTTGACTGCCTGCATGTATTTTTCCTCATTCCTGTAGAGGAATAACACAACTGCTGAGTGTTGTTGGGGTAAAAGTCTGTTGGTTTAGGAACTCTGTGAAGTGGACGATGGCCTCGTCTTATCATTATTCATTCTCGGTATTTGTACATTTTGCGGTCGAATACGAATGTAAATTTCCAAAATATCAACCCGGTGTCTGGTCATCCGGACGAAAAAGTACAAGTCCAAAAAAAAAAAAAAAACCACTAATTATAAGGAAAACGTGTGTTAAAAAAATGAAATTGAAATTGTAAAATGTAACAAGAAATCTTTCCTACGTGTTTACTCGATTGGCAGTGTTTTGAAATAGAATGAAAACTAAATAAAGCTGCTTATTCATTCAGTGCGATGTTTCTTTTGTCCCGTCAAGTAGCGGCAGTATTGTGATGACGTTAATTCATGTCGGACCATTAAGAGTAATTTAATGGTTCGCTTTAGTTACTGGTAAACGAGACAAAAAATTGAAGTTTAGCAATTTACTGACAGCATGAATTCGTATATTTTTCAGTTTGTTTGGGAACGGAAGTTTTGGCGTCAGTATATCAGAATGGCTTGTCTCGTGTTGACAACTAATGAATTGCTGTCAAAAGTAATTCTAGTGTCATCGGTTGTTCATTGAAGCGTGACATGTGTTAAATATTCCACGTTCTGTTTTGACGAGAGCTTCGGTACAAACTCGTTTCATCGAAGTTTTCGAGTGGTACCAGGAACCCTACATTCTGGACACTTAGGAAAAAGTCCAGTTGAAACATCTGTGGCCTCGGAATCCGTAACTAAACGAACACATGAATGGGAAAGCGAATCGAACAGAACAATGTCGCGTGCACGCCAACATTAGGGAGAATGCTGAAATGAAATGACCGATCCTTCTCGTTAGAAGACGTTCATTTACGTCAAAAGACTACTGGTGTAATTCCAGTTTTACACAAGGTAAGGTTCACAAATCCAGCCATGGTATACCGCTGTTGTTTGCTTCTTTGCCAATCGCTTGCGCTCATTACAAAGTCAAACGTCGTCTCCTTTATATTGAGCCAACCATCGAACACCGGATGTGTCAGAGGGCAGTTAGCCAGTGTCTAGTTGAATGTCGCATCGTCTCTTCTCTAGACGGGCCTATTTGCTGGCACTAGAAGAAACAGCCGTAAACAATCGATAGAAGGTATGCCTAGTTCTCTGCCTTTCCTAAACATCCTGATTATCGCTTTTTCCCGCCGCAGGAACGACGAAATTCTGACCGTGAAGAAGGCGCCCCGTCAGGACTCCCGACAGAAGACGCTCTCCGAGTACGTGAGCTAATGTTGGCTGGAGTTTCAGAGGACATTATAACGTTAGAAAATGGCCTTAGCTTTCTTTGGTCGTGATGGTATATTCAGCGTTTTCATTCTTCTCGGAATTGTTGGAATTTCAGCTCAACAATCTGGAGGTAGGTCCGCAAACAGGAACCGTACAATTTTGTCGAAGGTTGTTAGTTTCGTGGCGAGATCACGTAAATTTGTATACATTCAGATTGTGTATAGCTTTACAGCTGCTCACATAGAGATGCTCGTTAGAATGGTCCGCTGATGACGAATAAACAAACTTATAGGAGTAAGGGATCGCACATACAACTTGTAATCAAACTCTTGCCAAAACTGGCCAGAATTTTGGAATTTGTAAAAAAATTGGCCGTTTAGGAAAATATGAATCGAAAATCTCGCCGTCGAGTTAGAATTTTTACATGCAACTGATTCAAAGTTTTTCGACTACACCATTTGTCTCAATTTTAACCATTCTATATCCCTTATTATATGTGAAGCTGGCCAGTCCTTCATTTTTGTTGACAGTTTGAGTATTTATTTAGAAAGCTAACACAAGTATTCCCAGCGAGGAATGTCATGTTCTTGTATTGGAAAGTGCGGGGTGCGCTGAGTGAAGCCATTTGAAATCATGCACTGTTTGGTTCGCCGGGGTAACTGAATACTATTGTTTAATTTATTTATTTACAACCCTTACTGATATATTTTTAAACCCGAACTATGAAATTAAAAAGCCTTAAAGAACATCCTGAGCGTAATTGAAAGTGAGTTTATACTGTAATTATCCAGAATGGTGCTGTTTTTAATTTCAATTTTTTTTACGTGCGGAGTTCGATCAACAAGCGTGGTACATTTGTAAAGTAGCACAAGGAATTTAAATAGCTTTGTTTGATATTGGTTTTGGAATATGAAAAATTCCTCCTCGAGAATTACTGTTTTTGATATTTCCTTTACTGAAAAGCACCCCAAGGCTAATAGGAAGGTGTATTTTGAATAACCTAAGAATCTGCAGCTGATTTGGACAATTATATCATGTGTATTCAATACATGACCTCCGGTGAAACGGTGAATAGTGAATGTTTTCGAAATTCAGACGAGGTAAAAACGAAAATTGATGTGGTAATGTCCTTGACTAGCTTTTAATTCAGTTGCTCTTGTTACAGAAATGTTGACAAATTCAGCTTCGCGCTTGTCACTAGAACCGAAGGGTTTTTTTCCTTCTTAATTTCTGTTTCCGTGTCTTCAATGTAGATCATAAAGACGTCGAAGAAAACTTAATGTATTCAAAATTTCATCAGTCGGAGAAATAACCATCGCATATCAGCCCTTAGTGTTGACAGTTTTCTTTGAAACGATTCAGTATTAACTTTTTTCGCAAAACTGCGCGACTCCAATCGACTTGTATTTTCGTCAGCATAAAGTATCAAAACGTTTTGAAACACAGTGAACCTGTTTTTGATTGAAATTAAGCACCCTGGAACAACGCAATAGCAACACAAAACCGCCACAAAAAATCTCCCGGGCAATTTTCAATACCTTAGCTCTAGAAACGTTACCCAAAACCGAGTAATTGCGAAAAAACGAGCTCCTCCGCAGATCTGGTTTTCATTTGTATCCATTAAGTGGGGTTTCTTTCGAAAGGTATACCGTCCATTTCTATTTTTTTTTTTTTTTAATTGTGCTTTTTTAATTCTTCTGTCTGTAAGCGGATTGGAGAGTCGTTGATTAAATTGAAGTTCGAAAGTGCTCGATCAGGTTTACATTATTTCTGCACCTGTCGGTTTGCATTAAATGAGGGAGAATATTTTTTTGTTTAATTTCGTTTGATTGTCAGTCGGTGCGTCTGTTGACATTCAAATTGTAAACATTCTATACGTCTTTATTAAGGTGCCTATGGGCTTTTAGATGAAATGTTTGCATTGCCTGAATGTAGAGTTTCAGCTATGTGAAGTACCCTGCGTACTGAAATGTCAAATCTTTCATGGCCCAAATATTCTACAATGTGAAAATAGTATAAAAGTCAAATGAATGCACCAACGTGACCCAGAAGGGACGCTCGGATTTATAATAGGGACTAGTTACTTGGCAAAGGTAGTTGGAAGAAGAAAAAGACAAAGAGACACACAAAGAGAAGGAGAATTGCCATTGTGTTCTTAATTCTTCTCTACCTTACAAAAAAGGACAATGACATGGCGAGAACGAAATGGGATAATAGCTTTCTAGCCTTTCTGAATGGTCCACTACACAACAGAAAATCTTAAGGCTCTATGCTTCTGCCATTTTAGTAAGTTAAAATCGCGCCCAGAATGTTTCTACGTAGAGATCTAAAGATCCTTCTTTTTCAAAAAAGGTTTAAAAAAGTGGTTCACCGTGCTCGTTTTCGAGATAATGCGCTTTGAAGACCGTGCGTTTTTAGGAGCTGCGGCTTTCGTTATTTTGAGACGATCTTAGCTTACAACTATCAGCAATACAAAAAGCTACGTTAGTGAAATTTAGATCACATAAATGTACTCAATTCAACAGAACTAAGTACATTAAGTAAACTTTTGCTGCTGATATCGTTCTTTGAGGTAGAATAGGCCTTGAAAAAGATTATATTTTAGGCTTGCCTGTCCTCATTTGAGGAAAACGTCGATCGCACGAGAGCAGAAAAGGCGAAATATTTGAAACTTCTCACTTACAAATTTCTTTCATTTTGTTCTTTTTAAACGTCGCTTTTTACATGCACCGAATCTAATTGCTGAATCAAGTGCATGTAAAATGCGACGTTTAAATCAATTAAATGCGACATATTTCAATTAAATGCGAGTTCAGTCGAATATTCGACTGATCCAGTCGAATATACGACTGAAGTTCGACAGTTGATTTAAACGCCGCATTTTACATGTGCCGAATCTAATTCATAAATTATGTTAAATTATATTTTACCCATAACACAGTTTTGTGCTGCATGACATGCGCACAACAAGCTGAAGGGAATTTTTGGCGGCAGTTGCAGCAAGAGATGTGATGTATCATGTGGAAGGAAGGCTGTTGAAGATGCCAGTATGTGTAGTTCTTACTTCGCTCCGATTGTGTAATGTAGTTATGCAAAACCAATTAAGCTTAAGTTTCGTCCTTCAATCAAAAACCGCTCTGTGTTACATGACATGCGGAGTAGGAAAGCAATATGGCGACTGTTGAGAATAATAGTGTGTGCGGTGGTTCTTACTTCTCTTCAGCAAAGTTATGAAGAAGATGGAGAACGAAGTCTATGAACTTGAATTTGAACAGGAGAGTGAAACGAAAATCAGAGTTTAAGAGGCAATGCACTGCCATCTGCATTATAAATCGCCCCATTCTGTTTGCTCGAATGGTGTTTGAAAGGTATGAATGATCTTAACGCAAAATGTGCTCCTTATCATTGTCAGCCGCATTGGTGGGAAACTTGGAGCGGAGTCAGCTGGGAATGAACACGTCGCTCGCGCTCAGCAATTTTATTCGGCAAAAAANATAGTGTGTGCGGTGGTTCTTACTTCTCTTTAGCAAAGTTATGTAGAAGATGGAGAGCGAGGTCTATGAACTTGAATTTGAACAGGAGGGTGAAATGAAAACCAGAGTTTAAGAGGTAATGCACTGCCATGTGCATTATAAATCGCCCCATTCTGTTTGCTCGGATGGTGGTTTAAAGGTATCAATGATCTTAACGCAAAATGTGCTCCTTATCATTGTCAGCCGCATTGGTGGGAAACTTGGAGCGGAGTCAGCTGGGAATGAACACGTCGCTCGCGCTCAGCAATTTTACTCGGCAAAAAAATGCGACGTTTAAATCAACCGAACTTATTCATTCGAGTCGACTAAAATTAGTATTTGATTCAGCGCATGTAAAATGCGACGTTTAAACCGGGCCTAAGTGATTAATGATAGCAAATAAAATCTAATAATGCATTGACGTGGCTTTAAGGATACTGGTGGAAATAGATTTAGAGATGAAGGAAATGGTGTCCTTTCAAAAATGGATACGGATGACTGTGATATAGCAAGAGCTAAAGCCTTCATTTTTCACTTTTCCTTAGCGTAAATCCCGGAGGGGGGAGGGTAGTCCCTTGTATGGAAAATGTATTTAGCACTGTTGTGCTAATTGGGGGCACTGTGAATAAATGAAAACAATAATGCAAATAGAAAGGGATCCATGTCGAGGATATGAAATATATGGAGCAGCGTATTCGTCACGTCTAAAGAAAAGCAAAGTTTAAATTAAAGGCGAATGATAAATTGATGAAAACAAAACGTTTTTACCTGTTTGACAGTTTTTTCCATCCGATAACAATAGCAAACCATCCGGACAGGCACACGAAAATCCATCAGGCGTCAAAAGACATAAGTGACTGCAGCCTCCATTGTTTACTTTGCATTGCTGGTTTCCTAAAATGTAACTGAACTTTATGACTCGATGAAGGTTAGATCACATTACGTGATAGAGAGTTTGATATAACATATGAAGAAACATCATTAACAATTAGTCAAAAATAGCCAAAACTAACGAAAGAAAACAATGGAATTAGTGTCTAATAGTATGTAACTGTTTACTAACTATTTCACGGGAATGGTAAAATCACTGTACTGAATACGGGTTATGGATCAAATTACGTGGCAATTGAAGCATTTTTAAGCGTTCCTTCAAATCTTTAAAAGGTCCGTAAGAATAGCAGCAACAATAGCTTTGTTTCTTTTAGTAATAGCTATATGATAGTCCTACAATTTATAATTTATTGTAAGCTGGCTTGTCTTACAAGGTCATGCCTATCGCCTGTAACTGCGAAAGCGTTAAAGCAAAAAAAAAAAAAACCCTTGTAGAGGCCTTACCCTTTCAGCTAAATTTTTTGATGGGTTTGTCTAAGTTTGAATCTGCTGGAAAAATCTTGCGATCCAAGATGGCGGGCTGTTCTAAAATGATCATTTCCTACTTCTCTTTCCATATTTCTATATTTCTAATATTTTTGGATGTGCTATAAATTCCTTCAAGTTTCATTTTCATAGCCTCAACACTTAAGAGCTACGGGAGGGGGACCTCAAAAGCACCACCCCCGGTACCAGAAAAATCCCGTTCTGAATAGCGTTAAGCCTATTTGAGATAGAATCCTACACCTATCATGATCCTACCAGAAGGAATCTTACGTTTTCACGTTGTTATCTCACTTATAAGTCGAATATGGGAATGTTGAGCATTTAAAGAAAACCTGAGCACTGTAATATAATATTGTCAATACCCACGATCTTTTGAGCCATTTTTTGACTCACGAAATTACCTTCAAAATGTACGAGACCTCATAATAATGGTGTTCTAAAGAGAAGGAGAATCCTAAAGGCAATTAGAAATGGAAACGCTACAAGGGTGTTTAAAGGGACACTACGACGGTCATTATTATTATTATTATTATTGTTATTATTATTATTATTATTTTTGACTGGGATTATTACGGATTGTAACTGACAACCGTCAAAAATTTAGGCTTTGGTAATTTTGAACTCAATGCCGAACCATCAAACTACTGTTTGTGCGTCTGGGATCAAAGTGGTCGATAACCTAAAATTACTGAAGCATTACCAGAAAATTGACCATTTTAAGTTGAAGTTCAATGATTTGTAGCCAAAAACAATAGAAGAAGTGAGTCAAGGATCGAGTTCAAAGGAGTTTACTTAAGAATAACCCGAAAGGGCTAATTGTGATCATGTGACACCAGATTATAGACAACAAAAATAAGGATTGAAAATTTTAGCAACTGGAGGATAGAAATTATAGATAATATTGTTGAACCTTCTGTAAGGGACCAAAAAAACGTTGGGCCCACCAGAGGTAGGACCACAGGGCTTAAAGATCACTGCTTGAAGCTGCTTAAGAAGCTTCATATATACACAAATGCATTAGTAAACCCAGAAACTCTTTGGTCATCGTTCATGAAACTCTTTGTTCAAACACAAAATTTCTTCGTTCATGCAGCGTCACAATGAACCAATACATAGTCACTTGCAAAAACGTGCAAACAAGGTTGTAACGCATCGTCTTGCCCAATTAATCTGAGGTCAGATCACATGAAGTTCTCCCTCAGAAGAGGTAACAAACAACAGAAAATGTCATGTCATCAGGCTTAAATAATGTAAGTGGAGGTCGATTTGCATTACCTGCGTAAGATGGTAGTCGTGACTGGTCAATTAAGGCGATGCCAAAAGGCTGGTTGGATTTCAAACTGACAAGTCCTCCTATGTAATCTGCTGAAGTCCAATTGAGCCTCTCAATACCGTCAGTATTCCAGTCGCTCCAGTAAAGCGTGTCGCTATAGACTGTGAAGTCAAAGGGATTCATGTTTTGTGAAGGGTGAATGTCCCCAGAGAGCAATTGCCTATTCTGCCCATTTAAGTCAGTGGAATCAATCACATCATCGTAGGAGTCAATCCAGTAGACGCGATCTTCAGTATAGTCCTCGAAGACCGCATTTGGCCAGTACTGCGAAGAACTGCTCAGATCAACTAGTGTAGTTCGATTTACACCAGCTAGACTTGCCCGTTCGATTCGTTATTTGATTAGTCAAGAGATTGTTTTTCCCAATAAAAACAAAGAGTGAAAATGACTGAATGAATATGATAATGAATAAAACATTCCATTTCACGCTTCCTTGACTAAAGAGAAAAATGCTTTCAGAGCTATNACACAAATGCATTAGTAAACCCAGAAACTCTTTGGTCATCGTTCATGAAACTCTTTGTTCAAACACAAAAACTCTTCGTTCATGCAGCGTCACAATGAACCAATACATATTCACTTGCAAAAACGTGCAAACAAGGTTGTAACGCATCTTATTGCCCATTTAATCTGAGGTCAGATCATATGAAGTTCTCCCTCAGAAGAGGTAAGAAACAACAGAAAATGTCATGTCGTCAGGCTTAAATAATGTAAGTGGAGGTCGCTTTACATTACCTGCGTAAGATGGTTGTCGTGACTGGTCAAGTAAGGCGATGCCAAAAGGCTGGTTGGATTTCACACTGACAAGTCTTCCTATGTAATCCGCTGAACTCCAATTGAGTCTCTCAATACTGTCAGTATTCCAGTCGCTCCAGTAAAGTATGTCGCTATAGACTGTGAAGTCAAAGGGATACATGTTTTGTGAAGGGTGAATGTCTCCAGAGAGCAATTGCCTATTCTGCCCATTTAAGTCAGTGGAATCAATCACGTCATCGTAGGAGTCAATCCAGTAGACGCGATCTTCAGTATAGTCCACGAAGACCGCATTTGGCCAGTACTGTGAAGAACTGCTTAGATCAACTAGTGTAGTTCGATTTACACCAGCTAGACTTGCCCGTTCGATTCTAGGTGGGGATCCCCAATCTGCCCAAAACATCCACCTAAGGGAGAAAAATAATAGTTCAAGTAGCAACAGCAAAAGAGTGCTTGTCCAGTTAGTTTAATTTGAAAGACAGTACACTGCAAAGTAAGATAAAATGCCGCCGTCTGGCAGTGTTACCTACCCTTTCTTTGGGTGCAGTGCTATTCCCCGTGGCCTGTTAACCTCCTCCATGAAGAGTAACTTCCTTTGGGAACCGTCCAGTGAAGCAACTTCTATCCAGCCGTTACTGTAGTCTGACCAGTACATTACGTGACTTTCCCATTCCACAGCGAGGCCGTACACAGTCCCGAGATCGTCTGTAATGACCTCTTCAATTTTTCCACTAGACATGTTCATTCGTGTGATGACGCGTAAGTTGATATCACTCCAGTAGATTGTTTTCTCGCTAACATGGACATCAAGGGCAGCTGCTTGTTGAAGGTTGGGAATAATGGTAGCTGTTTTGGAGGTATTTAGTTCGATTGCGTTAATTTTAGATCCTACGCTGTATATCAAGCATGGTTCAGAGCACTTGTTGTTACCTGGTTGTTGAAAGAAAACATTATTGTCACTCAAGAACAAAATGTACATGTCTCATTCTTACAGACGCTGACGTTTAGTTATTCAGTTTTTCAAACATTTGCTGATGGAGCCCTCCAAGACTAAGAAGCTATAGTTTCCTATCTATGCATTCGAACTTGTTTCAACGGTTGCTGTTACTTTCCTGTCTTGAAAACGTTCTTTACACGCCTTTGTTTCCCAAAAGTTACTAAGTAAATTACACCGACTTCGACCATAAATATCACAAAATAGATAATACAAATTATGTCGGGAAAGAACTTTCAGTAATCTTAGAAGAATGTATAATATTGAACGGAAGGTTTCCATTCAAGCAACCCGAATGAATGAGCTGTACCGAGAAGCTCTATTGTCTGCAGATAAATGCTTCTCTGGATTTGATAAATTTACTTTATTTTCAGGTACGTTTTTAAAATGTGGATTAAATCCTGGTAAAGCTAACATAAATTTGACTGTAAAGTAACCGTGAAAAGTAGGGACGAGAATTGCTTAATTTGTTAAACTTCTAGTACATAAAACAACCCCCTTATGCTCAGTCTTTTTACCAAGTTTGCTCCGTATTGAAGTTGAAAGAAACCAATCTTTTCTTTTTAACAGTTCCATGAAATGATTTACAAATGGTTAGCCTTTGTCATAAGTAAAAGTTCATCTTCCTTCAAATGTTTGTTTCATATGGACGTACCTTGAATGACGGTGACTAGATGCAAAACGATGGCTGTAAGTAAACAGGCTTTTGCCATCACGGCTGATTTCACTCACTGAGGACTGCAATAAGGTCGCAGTGTGTAAAACTCCCTATGGCAGAAACAAATAGTTGTCGAGAAATGCTCTACAATTAAGAGACAGCCCTTTATTGCTCATTTGTTTATAAGCGTACCCACTCCAGTAGTTCCGAAATTAACTCATTTCGGCTTAAAAGGAACGTGGAAAATTTGCATGTAGCTTTAGAGATAGCTGGAGGCCAAATTGATCCAGGCAGAAACTTTTCCCATTTATTAGAGCTGTCAAAAATCATCTATGGGTCTTTTAATCAAACATCTGTTTTACTTATATGAAAGTTGTATTTCTGTTCGTGTTCACTCCGTTTATAACTAAAGAAGTAGAAAACAAATTGCTTCTCGGCGACACCTACTAAGATGTTATCTAATTGTACAACACTTTGTCTACGCATTTAAATCTGACTTTAATTGCTTCTACACTATATAGCTTCCAAACGTTGCAATCGTTAGAAAGGAATGAATTTAACCGCTCAGAGTAACTTTTAGAAGCTGCTATTCTCAAAAGGCTCAAAAGAGTTTGTTCAAAGGGAAATTGCCCTAAAAATAGAGCATCGTATTCGTTTAATTAACAAGGAGTTAAAAAACAGAAAGGCAAGTTAGAAATCGGTGAAATAAAACGACTGTAGTGAGAGACCGCAAAAGCAGTGCATCGAAGTCTCAACAAAAATTTGATCTAATAGTCGGCGTACTGCCAAATCTGTGCATTTTTGGGAAATATTTACGTATGTGAGGCAACTGTTGTAATTGTGTGTACTACCTAGGCAAACGTCCATAAAATTTTATTTTATGTTATCCAGGAAATATAGCCTGGATCATTATAGATCATTGCAGGTCATTCCAATCTAACAGAGCAGCCACCTTGATAAGGCGGCGCTAGACAGGCAATGCGACAGTTTGTTATGAAAACATTAAACTTACCTAAGTTTAGGGCTCAACGCGATGCAAACGGCGAGAGCTGTGAATACTTTGATTGATCTCACCTAGTCTCGTATTTCGTTAATGCGTCCGTCAACAAGGCATGACTACCTTTAATACGTCTCTACAGGAAAACATCTTTCTTCACGCTTCACTTACAACTCCATTCGTTCTTTGATTAATCAAGAGATTGTTTTTCCCAATAAAAACAAAGAGTGAAAATGAATGAATGAATATGATAATGAATAAAACATTCCATTTCACGCTTCCTTGACTAAAGAGAAAAATGCTTTCAGAGCTATCAAGTAAACTGAGACAGTTGAGCACTGAATTTACAATTTAAGTTCTTTTCTTTAACAAACCAGCATCGAAAAGTTGTCCTGCAAAAACTAATATCTTGTCTCTCTGGGTGATGCAGAAACGTAGACTTTGTTTGCATACTAGCAAGCATGACTCTCCTATCGTTATTGATTCAGTGACTGGCAAGTGATAACAGNCTTGTTCTAAACACAAGTGAAAATCCTAAAATCAACATGCTTTGGTTTTACCATTACAGCCGTTCATTACAATGGTTGCTACATTCACCCTCATTTGCGAAAAAACAAAAACA